TCATCATCATATGGTGGAAGAAAGTGTGGAAAAACAAAACAAAACAAAATCTAGTCCAGTCTGGTCTGGTCAGTCAGTCCTGTCCAATTCACAAGAAAAAGAAAAAGTTTTCACATTTTTCCACATTATTATTATTATTATTATTTGGATCGGAAGCTGGACTTTTGGTTTAGGTTTGGCTTGGTTGTTCGTTTGTTTCTTTTNGCATACATTCATTGCATACATCGCAAATCGATTTCCTTTTGGCCCGCATCTTTATCATCATCATATGGTGGAAGAAAGTGTGGAAACAAAAACAAAACAAAATCTAGTCCAGTCTGGTCTGGTCAGTCAGTCCTGTCCAATTCACAAGAAAAAGAAAAAGTTTTCACATTTTTCTCCACATTATTATTATTATTATTATTTGGATCGGAAGCTGGACTTTTGGTTTAGGTTTGGCTTGGTTGTTCGTTTGTTTCTTTTTCTTTTTTTAACACTGCATCACCACTTTTACTTTTTTTTTCTTCTCATTATTATTTGAGTTTTCGGAAACTTTTGTCTTTCTTCGGACATTCTGAAAAGTATTTTGTCTGGTTGTTTTTCTGTGAAATGAAAAGAAAGTTGTATGAGAAAGTAAAAAAATCTTGACCGCACCTTTGTCGTTGTATGTAATATTTTTTTTCTGTAATTTCCAAACATCGTTTTTTTTCGTTTCATCTGCAAACATTGGTCATTGGATAATAAATGGCTGAAGAGAGAGAGAGAGAAAGTGAGTGAATGAATGAAAATCCCAACACTTTTTTTTTCTTTCTCACCAGTTTTTACCCGGTATACCGGATTTTTTTTTCTTTGGATTGACCATCAACCGGGACCCGATGGACGGGTCAGTGAGAAACTCTCTCTCTCTTGCTATTGAAATAGATCACAAGGCCATATTGTGTGTGTGTATGTGAATAACTCCTTATGCAACAAAGAATGAAATCGAAAGGAAGGGAAAAAAAGAAAAAAAGATTTTTCTTTTTATATCGAATGGGTAACCTGGACAATCGTAAAGACAACAGCATTTCTATCTTTGAGAAAAAAGAACCAGAAAGAAGAAAAATCAAACCGGACGAGGTCAAATCACACACACACACATATTTTTCTTTTCCTACTTACTTACTTGTCTGGCAAGTCGGTTGATAGGTCGGTCGGTCATTTTTTTTCAGGTAAAGAAAGTGTATAATTCAGGTTTTTCCTTGCCAAACATCAAACCAAAAAAAGGAAAAGAAAAACTACCCACTAATCACACAAAACTACCCGACGACCCAATCATCAGGTCAGCAATGCATCTAGTCATGCAACATTTTTATATTTCTCTTCAATACTTTCATCATTTGGAAGAAGGAAAAAAAAGGAAGAAAACTTGATCATCTTGACCTCATTCTTTTTTGATTGGTCAATGACGAAAGCGAAAATTACATTCAATAAATGAAATGATAAAAAATAATCAAGGTGTACTTTTCAGGTAACTAAAGATATTTATAAAAAGTGAAAAAACACATATACGCAACCTGTTTTCCAATATGAAATTTTTTTTTTCGGGTTTATTTCATTCCTGGTCATTTGTCTATTTGGGTGTCTGGGGTTATCTATGGTATGGCTAGTGTGACAAATGTATGTAAATCGAACACAATCAAATTGACCCATTCAATGACCTAGTTTTTTTTTGTCACTCTCTCTCTCTCATTGTCCACTTTTGTTTGTTCCCTTTGACCACTGGTCAGTTGTCGGGGTCTATTTTGCCATTATTTGGGTGAAAAGGGAGAATGAATTGAATGAATGAATGAATAGAGAGAAAAGCGAAAGGGAAAAATGATTTTGTTTTGTTTCTGGGGTGACACACACTTGCTGTTTATCGATTTTTATATCTGGACGGTTGTTTTGTTGTTGTTCCATTGCATTCATTTTTTGTGAATGTGGCACTTGTTTTTCATACACTAAACATAAACATACCATCATTATACACTTGAATGAATGAAAAACTAAACTAAACTAAATTCACTTCACGCCTTTAGTTTTTTTCTGTTTCTGGAATCGATTCTTCTTAGTTGGAACCATTATTGTCAATGAGAAAAGAGAGAAAAACATTCACTTTTACTTTTTCTCTCTTTTACTTTTTTTTTCAAAATAATCATTATCATGTGTGGGATGCTAAAAAACACATCTTTTTTAACCCCGACCAACACACACACCAGCAATGTTTGAATATTTTCTCTCTCTTTCTCTCTCTCTCTCCCTAGTAAACCCATCCAAGAATCTCTATAAATTTTTTTTGGTTGTTGACAATCATCAACTGGATATGGCCAATTTTGTTGACGATGCTACCACCACCACCACCAATACTGCTAGATTTTTTTTTCTGTTTTTATGAATATATCTTGTTTGTAAATCTTTTCCAAAAAAAATAATAACCCCCACCACCCTAAACACCCCCATCAAATGATGCTGAATATACATACAAGGTCAAAGGGCGATATGTTGGATGTTTTTTATTTCAATTTTTTCATTTTAGACTCTGCCTTTGGGTTTTTTTTTCACTCATTCATTTCTCTCTCGCCCTTTTTTTTTTTGACTAAAAAAACTTCGTTTATTTATCAAAAAATGCAATTCTGTGTTTTGAGTGAAAAGTTCTGTGTGCGTGTGTGTAGGCAGGCAAACAAGCCAAGCAAGCAAATAATATTCACCGACCTCATCCTTGACCTGGCTTGATTATTTGTATATCTTTTTTCGCTGGCTGAATGGCTGGTGTATTTGGTTTGTTTGTATAAACTTTTTTGGTTCGTTTTAGCTGAAACTTTGTTTTAGTTCAGTTCGATTGGATTCATTTTTTTTTTGGATGTGCTGCTGGCTGGCTGGCTTGCTTGGTTATGAAATCAATGTTGTTTATAAAAAACAAAAAAAAAATGGCTGGCTAAATGGATGGATGCATTGGTTGTTTTGCTTGCTTTGGTTCGATGGTTAACAAGATAGATAGATTTTTGAATAGATAAATGGTTGGTTTGGTTGGTTGGTAAGAGTAGCTTTCATACCCTTACCCTTAGCCATAGTAGTTTTTTTTAGTTTTTTAGTTTTCTGGTCGTGTCAAAATCGTTAGTTCGTAATTTTCGTTTCGTTTTTTCGTTTGGCTATTTTAACCAAATAACGCCGCTACCCTTCAGGATAAAAAAAAAAGTAAAGCCATATGATATAACACACAGACAGACAGAGTAAGAGAGCTACATCCATCCACATCCCATCCATACATCCATCGATCGAGAGAAAAAAAAAGCCCGAGAGACAGCGAACAAGAGAGAGAGAGAGAGAGAGAGAGAGAGAGAGAGAGAGAGAGAATAATTTTTTATGCAATACTCTCTCTCTCTCTCTCTCTCTCTC